GAAAGCATCTGGGGCCTTGAGCTTGGCGTTGGTCAGCCCCATCACATCTGGAGGGAAGCTCCACAGCACCACCAAAGATTTTGTGCTTGGACAACAAGCTCAGGTGATATCCCAAAATAACACTGCCCAAGTGGCACTGGCAGTTCAGAGCTGAGGCTGCAGCTGTGTCCCTCTTGCCACCTTTCCATGGGGGGTGACACACCGTGTCCTCTGCGATTTCTGTGGCCCTGGGGAATCACCCACAGGATTCACGCTACTGGGAAAAGGCATCTTTGGTATTGTGTGTCCTTTTTGAGGAGAGGGGCCCTCTTCCACAGCTTTGGCAAAGATTGGCTGAAGCAGCGTGACCTGCATGGGTGGAAACAGCTGGATTTTGGTGCACTGAGGGGAGGTGCACTGATGGTGACGGCTGCCTGTCCCCCTGTGCTGTCATCTTTACCCCCATCCAGCACAGTGAGGGAGACCCAGGAGCACAGCTCTAGCCTCCACATTGGATTAAATGACACTCCCAGCCACACTTCCCTGGGATTTGGGAATAATTTTTGAGGAGGATTTTAACAGGCCCAGCTTCAAGGCAAGGAGCCCTCGCCTGTTTTTCCAGTCTCAAGCCACACGAAACACAACACATTAAAAAGTCATCAGTGGCTGCTGCTACAGGACCACTGCTTTCCCCTTATTCAAAAGGCTCCCTCTGTCCGCAGCACTGAGGACCTCTTCATAAATATTGGAATGAATAAATAAACTGTTGAAACTCCCCAGAAGGGGAAGAAAACATTTCTGGGAGCAATCTATGGCCAGTGTGAGCCTTGGGGTAAAACTTCTCAGATACTTGCACACCTACAATGGTTAGTAAATTCTTAAATCAGGAAATCTCCTCAGAAAAATGGTGAGCAATTTGTTTTATCAATAGGCAGCAAAGAATTGACACACAGAAAAGAAAATATCTCAAAATATCAATCACTTTATTTAAAAAGTCCAAGCACAGTGAGATGTGGAGATTACGGGCTCCTGCGAAATCCTTCCCATTGTGTGAAACACAATGAGAGCATACACACTATTATTTACACTTGCAAAAGGGCCCGTAAGAAAAAAAAAAAAAAAAAAAAAAAAAAAAAAAAAAAAAAAAAAACATCCCTAAAAAAAAAAAAAAAAAAAAAAAAGAGACTAAGCTACCTGAATAATCAGAAAGTAAATCAACACCAACGTAAAATAAGTATATCATCATCTGCCGCTTTCCTTGGCCCGAAACATTACGAAAACCAGCACTCGCTTGGCTTAGATTTGGTGTGCCTAAGCCATTTTTTTTTCTTTTTTCAAATACAGATATCCTAGAAAAACACTTTAAAACCTTAGCAGTTCTGGGCATATGCAGACCAAGAAAAGAGAAAATTGCACTAAGAGTAATGGTCTTGCCAAGCAGAGAGCGAGTGCGGGGCTTGCCAGAGGTGCAATGTGTGATTGAGGGACACGGAAAGGAAGCTGAAGGCTGCAGCAGAAGCTCCGTGCGAGGCGGCGGGGCCGGGCCGGGCCGAGCATCGCGCGTGGGCTGAGTCACCGGGACCCAGCGGTGCCAGGGCTGCGGCAGCCGCCTCTGCTCACCGCGGGGACAGCGGCCCCTGTCACCCGGAGCGCCAGCCACAGCGGGCCAGCAGCCGAGAGCCGCTCCGCCGGGGCTGGCCCCTGCCGCAGCCGCAGCCCCGGCCCGGCCCCGCCGCAGCCACCACGGGGCAGGCTGGACCAAACCCCAGCCCCCGGTGGGAGCCAAGCCTGCCCCAGCCCCAGTGTCTGCCAGCTGGACAGCTTCCTGAGCCTAAGGACACTGGAGCTGCTAGTAGTTGTGTCCTCGCTCCTTCCCTGGCAGGAAAGCCTCCCTCAGGTGGGATTCCCTCCTTCAGCCTTTCTTCCTGCTGCTTCTCCCTCCCTTTCTCCCTCTGGCTGTGCTGGGCTGCTCGTTCCCTTGCTGTGAAGTGATGCCTGCCTGCTTCCCTGAAGGAAGGAGGAAGAGGAGGAGGTGATGGCCCTGGTGCCACACTGCTGGCCTGGCTTAGCACATGGGCACAGGAGCTGGGGCCACGGCAGGAACCACAGTGGTCTCCAAAGCTGGATGAGGCCCCGGGGCTGTGCTGGGGTGTCTGCCCAGCTGGATCCATGCAGGATTCCAGCAGCCACGTGTGGCCCCAGCCACTGCAGGAATTGCCTGGCCATGCATTCAGGATGAGTCTGGTTTACATCTGGGCTTTGGGGGAGGATTTGTGAAATCTCTCCGGAAGAGGAGCTGTCATGTGCCAGCACCACACAGATATTTAGCAGGACCACAGATAGCAAGTGACATCCCAACAAAAGCCATGGGTGCTTGTGCCTTTCACTCAAGGAAGCAAAGCAGAGTGGCACCAGAGGCCTTGTCCCCTGCAGGTTCAGCCACCAGGCTCGGAACACCGCAGGCAGGGGCACGTGGATGTACACACAGAAACCACCTCAGCAGGAAGGCACGGCCCTGCCAAGGAGCAGACCTGGCCTCGTGTCCCAGCAGCAGCTGAGGATTACAACATCAGGAAGCACAGCATCCCCTTCCCTACCACATCAAACTTGGTGAAGCAGGAACAATTTTGCTGCCCAGTGACTACCAAGGACTGAGCAGTGTGGTCCTCAACTCAGTGCTTTTTTTTTCTTTTTTTATTTTTTTGTTTTGCACACTAATTTAGAAAGATCCACCAAGAAGAAAATGAGGACAGTTAGGTATCCAGGGGAGGGAAGATCAGGAAGGGAGAGAAGCATCCACCCATAAAAACATACCACTTCAGACCTCAACTAAGAAAGTATCCAATTAATTCTTAAATGTCCCCTAGACTTTTTGCCTCAGCCTCCTTGCCTTGTTAGCCATTCCACATATTTATTATTCTTTGCATGAAATAATACTTCCTGACATCTGTTCCCAGTTTGTTTCTCTTTAATTTCCATTTATAGCACATTTTCCTATCCTCTGACCATGTTAAAATAAAACAATAAGTATGTTTGACACAGTGCAAGCTACTTAAGATCATGATCCTTCCCTGACCTTAATTTTTTTTTTTTAAATATGTCCTAAAACACAGAAAGCACTTGAATGAACTTAGTTGAAAAAGGCAACAGAAAGCTCAGAGAATCACAAAGCACTCATTTCACAGCAGTGCTGCAGCCAGGGGCTCAGGGAGCAGCACAAGGAACAGTTTGTGGTTACAGCCCGGTTCCTCTCTGACAGGAATCAGCTGAAGGCAGCTGGGAAAACAGAGGTGCTGGGGGCTCCATGAGATGAGAGGGCAGAACCAGGAGGCTCTAAGAGAAAAGGCAGCAGTGGGACAAGCACAGCAAAGGAAATGTTAATTCCCTGTGCAGGGACTCAAATTGGCTGGAGGGATGTTTCCCCTTCTGACCAGGCAGATGGGAAAAGGTGCCCTTCCCTTGCTCTGAAGAGATTTTGTGTCCAAGTGCAATCTGGCAACTCCACAAGCAATAAATTCTCAAGGAGAAGCGATGAGGAGTGCTTTAGCTATGGCACGAGAACATTTTATGTTGTCATCTCTATATTGGTACAAGCTCTCAATGTAATTTTAGCTCAGGAGGAGGTTGCTTATAAAGCAAATATAAAATGGCAAGAAGCAATGTAGCCTCCAACCAAATGTGTGTACACACCTTCCAGTCAAGGGACAGAGCAAACCAGGAGCCAGGACTGTCACCTTTTTAAGGACCACCAGGCAGCTCTGCTGGAAGGAGATCCTTCCATCCTGTTCTGTCCAAGTGTTGGCCTGCTCAGGCTCAGCTCCTGCTGAGCCACTTCAGTGCGGTGGGACACCCTGCTGTGACCAGGCTGGCAAGGTCACAGCCCTGAAGGGAAACACAGGGAACTGGAAACCCTTCTGGGAGCCTCTGTCAGCACAGGGGCAGCAGCTGCTCTGCAGCTGGGTGTTCCAGCGCAGATGTGGGCACTGCAACAGCCAGGAGCCATCCAGGCAGCTCAGATCCTGTGCCCCTGACCTGCCTCTGGCAGATTTCTTCACTCACACAAGTGTTTTACTGATAAGGCCTCAGGCTGACGGGCTGCCAAGGGCACTTTCCTTTACCCACATTCCGAGCTGAGCCTGTATGCACTTAGAAACCTTGGGTTCCATCTGAGGCTTTCTCAGGTCAAACCAAGCCATGAAAAACAGGACTAAGAGCAGCCAAGTTCAGCTGCGCTCTGACAAAGCACTGGCCCCTCAAAGGCAGAGTGCAGCTCCGTGCCAGGGCTGCACCACTACAGCCCAAGGGCCAGAAGGTGATGAGGCTGGATGGTCTTTGGGGAAGCAGATCAGAGGTGCCTTTGAAGGCACCATCCAGCAAATAGCTGCATCAGGCGCTCTGCAAATGCAGGACTGTTCCTTTTGGAAAACCAGCACCTCCCATTGCCCAGGAGTTGTTCCCCTGATTGTCCCCTGGCTTCTGCAGTCAGGTTGGCCAGCCCTTGGGAACCACTGAATCCTTGGCAGCACGGAGCTCACAGGTACAGAGAGGTGTTTGTGCCTCTTCTCCTCCCTGAACTCCCTGCACTTCATCTGCTTTTTCTGGGCTTTAACTCTAAGCAGACAGAGCTCACAGAGGTGGATTTGTTCTATAAAGTCCCTGGTTTGGAAGCATAAACATGAGTTCCCCCTAATCTGCCTGTTTCTTCTGCTCATTTCTCCTCTGCCACAACTGGCCAATTACCTTTGCTGTTCATCCAGCCCAGCATCCACAGCATCTGGAGCACTCCAGAAGTGACTGAGGAGATAAAGAGAAAAGCTGTGCTACACCCCAAGGCCTGATTATGTAAAGCTTTGTGGAAACCGTGTTGCTGCTGCCTTGGAAAACAGGTTGGGAGGAGGGGATGAGAAAGCTTCACAGTGTGATTTAGCCCATTCTTGGGGTTATAATCTGTATTTAACCATCACCCCCTATTTATGTGCTGAAATAGGATTTATGAAAACGTACCAAGGGTCATTTCTTTGTAAGTTGCAATCTCTTTATTTGATTAAGTAGTCTGAGTCAACAAAGTCATACTTTCCTCTATTTCTGACAGTTTCTTCAGCATCTGGCTCACCTTGGCCTCATCAAACTCCAGGCAGAGAAACTCTGATTCCTACAAAAGAAGAGAGAACAATATTTGAGAAAAAAAATTATGTTTGATCCCTGTGCAGAAGTTTGGTGAGGAATTTGACAGTTTAACTCCATTTGTCAATGGACTTTCTTGCATTTTCCTGTCTGATTAGGAGCACTAATTTGTATTGGTGATAAAAATCCAGGTGGGATCTGCCTGAGGCAGATGTGTTTGCAGGAGACTGCATAAGAAAGTTTGAACAAAATCCTGGAGTATGTCTCACAGCATTCCTTGATTAGGAAGCACTGGAAAAGTAAGCTCTCAAGCAATCCCTGAGGCTTTGAGGAGCACCATGCAGAAGACAGACCCAGACCCTCGCTGAGTGAACCATTCTCCGTGGACACCAGCAGACCCGGACAGTGTCAGCCTGCCCTGAGCAACCGCTGCAAACTGGGACTGCAGAGCCAATGCCTCTTCAGCTCCTGCTGGATCTCCCCAGCTTTAGCATCCTTGCTTTTCCAGACCTGACTAGAAAAGTCCAGAGCAGGCTTTCACACAACAGCTCCTGCAGGAGGAGCAGCTTTTCTCACCGCCCCAAAATAGTCCCAGTATCTGTAACACATTTCAAGTCTCCTTTCACAGCCAAGATCCGACAAGAGCTCTCAGTAACCTGACCTCTCATTGCTCCACGTGTGTTCCAGCCAGGGGCTGGTTTCTGTCCTGACCTTCGGGGAGGGAGTGGCAGCGCCGTGCTATGCAGGGACCTGGTCCTCCATGGGATGACCTCCAAGGCCAAGCTCCTGGTGACTTCTCAGGCTTTCCAGCCACAACTCTGCATGCCCAGTCGTATGAGCCCATCGACAGATTTAATCAGGCCAGGGCTGCCTGTGCAACCTTGGAGATCTGCTAAAGCTGATTCCATGGCTTAATCACAGGGGGAATGTGAGTGGACAGGATGAGGTGGCAGCACCTACTTCTGGAGGAGATGTTTTTGCCTGAGCCTAAGGCATGAAGAGGACTTTTTTTTTTTTTGTTCCCCTCTTCAGGTTTTGTCAGTCAAAAGGAATGTAAGTTGATCAAAACAAAACTCTTTGATTACACACAACTCTTTGATTACACACAGACACTGCCCCTTCATACAAGTGTAAGTGCACTCACGAAACATTCTTTTAGCTATAAAGCAGCTAAAACTCTCCCATGTGGGCTGGACAGTGTCTAGTTATCCACTCTCAAGTGCACCAACCTAAAACCTGACCCAAGAGGGCTGTAAATCAGGCTGCTCAGAACTGAGCTTCAGTTTTATTTAATGCTTTGTTAGTTTATCTCCCCCATGAAAAATGAAACAAAAATAAGATGGAGCTACGAAATACAGAAATCCTTATTCCTTCCCTAAGACATCCTCCAGGAGCAGGACAAATGGTATCCCTGCTCATCCTCAGCAGGAAAAAAGGCATCCCTTATGCTCCTTCCTACTGCTAAAAAATAATTCAGCCTCCTCGGAGTTAAGCAAAACCAAAATCAGTCACAGACAAGCCCAGGACTGCTGCTGCCCGGGCTGGAACCTGGGCTTCAGCTTCAGGGAAGGGAAAGCTGGGAAGCCGATGCCCAGAGGAAGGTGTGGGAAAGGACCCCTATTTCCTGCAGCCGCCTTGGTTTTGTCCCTCCACACTTTCCCACCCCTCCTCCCCTTTCACACCCGAGCCCGGCCTATAAAAAGGAGCAGAAAAACAAAACATCCAAGAAACACAAACTGCCCCCAGCCTTGAATCAGGTTTTCTAGGAGCTGCAACAACAGTGCTGCAAAAATATTTATATGAGAGACTAAAAGAAGCACGACTTTTTCTGTCTCAGTAACTATACTTAAAAACCCCATGTATTTTTAGAAAACCAACCCTCACAAACGAAAAACTTAAAAAAATTACGATTGTTCTCTATTGTATCAGTTTGGCCAGCTACTTAAAATGCTTTCTAGCAACTTTGATACAAGTTATATTTCTAAGTTTTGTCCACTACATTGGAAGAACAGAAAGGAACCCCTCAGAATTCGCATGTCACTGTACGCATATTCATTTCCCCTTGATCTGGAGGACCCTACAACAACATTCAGCATTTCAAAGCCACCAGCCAAGGCGCCAGACCCACTCTTCGAAGCCGCCTCAACTCGATGCGGTGCTTGTAAGATCATTAGCGGTTCTTTGTAAAGGAATTATCCCAGCTTGAATTACCAGGAAAGCGCTCTTCAGACAGTGCGAAAGCATCAGCTTGGGGAGCCTGTGTGCAAACACAGCCAGCCAGCCGATGCTTCTGGACTTGTGCACCCAGGCGGCTGCTTCCCGGAGCACTGGGAGGACTGGAGGGGCTTAGCTCCGATCCTTTTGGAGCAGGCAGTGCAGCCATGTGCTCTGCAGAGCCTGCCAGGCAATGCAACCGCACTGCTCCGGAAGAGGTTTTATTCTCTTCTATTATTTTACGTTTTGCCTTAGAGTAGGATCTTTTAAAGATTTAGCTTCTCGTATATGTAAAAACCTAATTTGTAATGTCGCCAAACTTGCCTTCAAAACAGCCTGGTACCTTTTTGTGATTAAGAACCCACATTCATTTTCAGCCTCCCCAGTTTGGTGTTTTTTTTTTTTTTTTTTTTTTTTTTTAAAAAAAAAAACAAAAAAAAAAAAAAAAAAAAAAAAAAAGGTCAGAATTCCAATCAAAAAGTAGGAGAGTTCAGAAGTGCTGCCGTTCTGGACATTTTGGGCTTAGCTCGTACCAAAGCGCAGGGCTCCGGTTAAACCAGAGTTGTGTTAGCACAGATGAATATCTGACTGTTCCCATTACCAGCAAATTAGGCTGAAACACCAAAGCCGGTGTGGGATAAATAAAACAAGGAGCTGGTCCCCAAGACATCACTGAGCCGGGACTCGGAGCCAGCACACAGCAAACGAGCCCGAGAATTCACAGCACATCAGCTCCCCCAGCAACACCCACGGACACAAACAAATGTCATTTTGGTTCCAAGGCATTAATTAAACATAAAAGACAAAATACTCGTTTCAGAATAAATCCACTGCTGATATTTTTTTTTGTCCAATTTTGCAAACAAGTGTTAAGACATTGCTTCCCAGGCGTAAAAGAAAACACCTGCAGGGGCTTAGGTAACCTGCTGTTGCCAGAAGTCTGGTTTATTTGGTAATGTCAACTTTCCTATTTCCTCCAAATTTGCTAATTCCATGTAAATACTATTCCAATAAAACACCTGCAGGACTATCCTGTAAATGTTATCCCAAGTCATAAGTGTAATTGTATTTCAGCAGGAAAATCAATCACAGAATCACAGGATGGCTTGGGTTGGAAAGGACCTTAAAGCTCATCCCTGGGCAGGGACACCTTCCACTAGACCAGGTCGCTCCAAGCCCCGTCCAACCCAGCTTTGAACACTTCCAGGGATGGGGCATCCACAACTTCTCTGGGGAAACTGTGCCTCACCACCCTCACAGTCAAGAATTTCTTCCCAACATTTACTCTGAACCATCTCTCTCTTAGTTTAAAACCATTCCCCTTGTCCTGTCACTCCATGACTGTGTCCAAAGTCCCTCTCCAGCTCTCCTGGAAGTACTGGAAGGGGCTCCAAGGTCTCTCCAGAGTCTTCTCCATGCTGAGCAACCCAAACTGCCTCAGCCTGGCTGAGGTGCTCCAGCCCTGGCAACATCTTCATCACTCTCCTCTGGACTCATCCCAGCAGGTCCATGAGGTTCACTGGTCAGTAATGGTCAACTGTGAGCCACCATCCTCATGGCTCAGCACCAGAGCAGCTTTTGCCTGAGCCAGTACCTGCTCACAGGCTTGCATGGTACACAAATGCAAATCTTAACTTTAAAAAAAGAAAAAGAAAAAAAGAAAAAAAAATGGGGGGAAGGGATAGGAAAAAAAAAAATCCAAATGCCCTCCCCAATACCAAAAAAGGCAAGAGAAAAGAAATTAAACACCACACCCCCTGCCCCCCAGAATCTCGACATAATCAGAAATTCAAAATGTAAATTAGACACTTTTTAACAGTGCAAGGACACATTCTCCCTGCAAAAGGCACATCCAGAAGTAATTTTTTGCAATGATGCTGCCAAGCTCTATCACAGAAGCCTTCCTTCACTGCAGAATATCCTTACTCATTACTGTGGAAATTCTGTACTGTGCTGCCCAATGGCATAAAATAAACCCTGAAAAATTCACCCCTCCCTGCACTATAAACTTGCTTCCAAACCTTTCTCTGGGTGGCCTCTCCCTGACACCTGGTGCTCACCATTCCCAGGTGACTCCCCAGGGCTGCCTGGGTCAGAGGGACCTGTCCTGTCACATGTGCAGAGCTCTCTCCCATCCCCTCTTCCAGGAAAACATCTGCTGCAGGAATGTCACAATACACAATATGCACCTTGCATGAATGATCCAAAAGGAAGAAAAACCTTGGATTTTAGCTTGTATTTCCTTCTTCAAAAATCACAGTAATAGGACATTAAACTGGATAGTTCCACTGGGTGCAAATATTTCATGTCAGAAGTTTATGAGAACAATTTATTTTTGCCATTTAGATTCTCATCTTAGAAACATCTGATAAGTAGTTAAAAGACAATAAAACCACAAAAGTTGCCCCAAACCAATGCAGAATGACGAAAGTGTGAGATGCTGCATCAATTCTTCTATCACACTGCATCAATTGTGATCCCACTGCAAAGTTCTGGAGTTATTTTTATATTCATTAATATTCAGCAAGATATACTGGGGCATATGATAAATGACAGCAAAATCTAGATAATTCCACAAAAAAATGCAACAGATTACAATCCATTGACTTCACACTCCCACTTTTCTGACAATACTAAGTTCATTATTTTTAATTCAATTTAGAGCTATTTTTGCTAGATATCTACAATCATGCCCTTCAAAAACTTTAATGTAAAGTGCAATTCATTTCCATAATACTGTATAAAATAAAGCACAAATATTTGTAACTGCAAGTGCCTTTTAATTCTCCATTATTTTGGTATTACATGAACCAG